CTTTGCCACTCTGACTGATTTTGTAAAGAGAAAAAAGATCAACATATGGTTCCTCATCCCATTTTCCTTCTCTCCTACAAAACAACATCAATTGCAACATGGTATTATATTTTAAAGTTACATTTTTTGGCCATTTTCCCCCATCATCGAGTGTTGGTCTCGGACTAGCCAGGACCTGGGCGAAGCATTAAATAATAACAAGATCACACCAGTTTGTTGTAGGGGGAGCATTGGCAAGAGAAAATGTCACTGCACTGTGTGCCAGCTCCCAATTTATTACCACTTGTTTACATAGGTTTGTTTTTACTTCTATATCCTACTGACTTTCAGGTTTTATCTGTTTACTGCTCACACGCTCACCATGCATTCTGCAGGCGGCGTCCCAGCCTGCTGTTTCTGATGCTTGCACCACGGCATTCTGAATGTTGCCTCAGTCATCCACAGTCATTCTTTCAACCTTAAGGTCAGTTTACATTTTGCTAACTACCAGTTCTTAAATCCCACAATCGAGAATGTACATAGGTCACCAGTGATTAAAGTATTCCTTAAGCGGCCTACGAATAAGCAGATCCCCTTCCACCTTTTTCAGTGCTTTAAAATACATCCTAAGGAAGATTGTTTAGTAATTCCTTCTTCCTCTGATGTTGTTTTTCTCCCCTTGTATAGAAGCCTTATTCCCCATATCTCACCAACCTTTTTACCAAACCCTACGTATTCCACAGGCTTTCGCCTAACAGGATCAAAACCTCCTTATGTAAGGCACCTTATTCTTAGCTCAATCCTGTGGGGTTTTCACCGTGACTTATGGACATAATAAATGAAAAAATGTGTTTACCTTTTCCCAGGGAATTTACTCTGTGGTCTGAGGATTGGAGGTTCTCCCCTGAGAATCCCTTGGTGCCGGCTATAAGTCCCACAATCACAAGGATCACGAGGTTCATGAGCAGTGTCCCATCTGGGTCACCAAAACTGTCACCGGAATCAGGGATAAAGAAAGTCCTTAACATTAATGCAGTATTAAGAAGCAGGCATTCTTTATTAATGGCCGGGTGCGTTGTTCATGAAACAACACCCCTACGTACCTGGCTGTTAATAAAGAATGCCTGCTTCTTAATACTGCATTAGTGTTAAGGAGTTTCTTTATTCCTAATTTTGGTGACACATCCGCATACATATATGCACATACATGCCAGCCACACAGATCAGCAGACAGACACACTCAGCCCTCACACAAAGAGCACCAACAGCCTCATCCTGCTCCCATCTCTGAGCATGATGGAGATCCACTATGAGCAGCATGGATCCCTCCTGTTGCAGAGCTGCTCAGTCTGCTCAGTAGCTGCTCCTGGATCCCAGCTTCCCCAGTTTCTGGCACCTGGACATAGCAGCCCCTGAGGACACAGCGACGGTGCAGTTGCTGGTGCAGACCCCTCGCTCACAGATGCACACACACAGAGCTCTGTGACAAGTGGCTGGGACTCCCCTGATCCTTCCAGTAGCCCACTAACCCTGTGGTCTCACCCTCAGTGCCACATAAGGGCACACAGCTGGCACTCAGATCACTTCACCTTAATTTTACCTAGTGGTCACTCACTCATTCACACACCCTCACTCCCTCCAGCTGATTTCACTCACTCTAGTCTCTCTGATTCCTGGCACTTAGACTTCATCATAAAACACATGCACCCAGAATAGAGCATCCTTCATGCCAGAAAACAGTTAGAAAATGATTTTAACAAGAAGATGGGACAGACTGCACAAAATAATCACAGAATCAGAGAATCATCAATGTTGGAAAAGACCTTGAAGATCATCCAGTCCAACCATGGATGGACTCAACTCCACTAGTTGATCCTAGTGGATCCCTCTAGGGATCCCTCAGTGCTGGGTCAACCCGACTCTTCAACCCCTCCAGGGAAGGGAACTTCCCCCTGCCCTGGGCAGACCATTCCAACGCCCAGCAACCCCTTCTGCAAAGAAATACTTCCTAAGAGCAAGCCTGACCCTGCCCTGGAGCAGCTTGAGGCCATTCCCTCTTGACCTGTCGCTTGTTCCTTGGCTCAAGAGACTCACCCCCACCTCTCTGCACCCTCCTTTCAGGGAGCTGTAGAGGGCCATGAGGTCTCCCCTCAGCCTCCTCTTCTCCAGACTAAACCCCCCCAGTTCCCTCAGCTGCTCCCCATCAGATCTGTGCTCCAGACCCTGCCCCAGCTCCGTTGCCTTTCTCTGGACATGCTCGAGTCATTCCATGGCCTTTTTGGGGTGAGGGGCCCAAAACTGAACCCACTCATCAACGTGCAGCCTCACCAGTGCTGAGTACAGGGGTAACATCCCTTCCCTGTCCCTGCTGTCCACACTATTGCTGACACAAGCCAGGATGCCATTGGCCTTCTTAGCCACCTGGGCACACTGCTGGCTCCTGTTCAGGTGGCTGTCAATCAGCACCCCCTGGTCCCTCTCTGACTGGCAGAGCATGCCAGACAACGATACTGATCAGCAACCTGTTTACATGCTACCAGTCCCTTTTATCCCTTTATCTATTTTCTCACATTTGTTTCTTCCCAAACTACCTAGATCCCCCCCCCCCCC